TAGGTTCAAAGCAGGCCCTAAAACTGGCAGTGCTGGCGACAATGTCCTCAACAGGACTCTGAGTAGGTAAACAGGATTGTTACTGTGTAAGCAGAAGCCTACACTCAGCATTCCTCAGGAGTCTCCTAAGGAAGGCATCTATTTACCAGGAAAACGCACCATCCCCCTTATCTGCCCCAACTACCTGCAGCAAAGGGCATCTAGTTCCCGATTAATTAACCTAACAGCTCAAAGACCCCCATCCTGCTGGCTATCACAGAGAACCTGCTCACTTTCTGGTGATGGGAGATGTCATTCTGTATATGTTTCTCATACTGGTTAATAATAAAGCACTGTTGGCCAATAGGAAAGGAAGATAGGAGGGACTAGGAGACAAGGAGGAAAGAGGAAGTAGGAAGGAGGAGTCAAGATGGAGAGTCTGAAGAAAGCAGTATGCCGCCGGCTCCCCGGTAAGAGAAATACATAGATCAGCAGAAATGGGTTAATAATTAAGGCAGAGCTAGTCGATAAGAAACAAGTAACCAGGCCAACAGCATTGTATCAAATACAGAGTCTCTGTGTGTTATTTGGGGCTGGCGCGGCCGCAGGACAAGACCAGGCGGCGGGAGGAAAAACCCGTACTCCTTACATTCTGGCCAAGCTGCTGTCATGTTATTGGAGTGACTGGCAGTTTGTTCCCCCAATAAACTTTTCTTTCTACCCATTGAGTAGTCCGGTCTGGTGGTTTCACTGAACCCTTACAATACTAATCTGGGTTGTCGAGCATTTTCTTCCCAAACCTGATGTTTTTCCATGTTTTGGCTTTTATTTAAAGTTTCTGTTGAGAAACTTTATTCAGGAGGGGCTGACTTTGTATGTGACTTGTGTTCGGCTGGAACCTCCAGTCAGCCCCTGCATGATAGGAAAGCCCAAGTCCTACCTCGCCAAACCCCGCCCACTCAGAGTCTCCAAACCCCGCCCACTCAGAGTCTCCAAAACCCACCCACTCAGTCTCCAAACCCCGCCCACTCAGAGAGTCTCCAAACCCCACCCACTCAGAGTCTCCAAACCCCGCCCACTCATAGTAAACCCCGCCCACTCAGAGAGTCTCCAAACCCCGCCCACTCAGAGAGTCTCTAACAAAGCCCAGTTCCACATTCGTGGCTGCTGCGCCCTTCTCCCCTGAAGTTGAATCTGCCTAAGCCCTTGCCTAAAGTGCTCAGCTTTTGACCATACCTGGGCACAACCCCAGCCTGTGGTGAACACATTCTCACTCCCTCCTAAAACCTATATAATCTCCTTGCTTTTGTTTGGGCATGTGGCTTCTCTGGCCCCAATCTCTGGGACTGGAGAACCTGCCTGGGAGTTGCTTTGCTCAAATAAACCTGTTGTTACACTTTTTCAAGTTGACTTAATCTGGCTTACCTGGATTACTGGAGAAACCTGTTTTCAGGGGACAGAAAACCTATTATCTACGCGGGGGAACAGAAAACCTATTATTATCTTGGTGCCAAAACCCAGAAGGTGAATTCTCCTACCTGGTGGACCAGGTCCTCCAATCATGGACTTTTTTCCCTTTATCGTTCCACCAGACACGATCCACTTTTGACTTGGGTAAGTCACCATTTCCTAGCCACCACCTAAAGAGGGACAGGGCATGTCTTCCCAGTTCCAGGACCCTTGGGATCCCCTACCAAGCCACAGCTGTGCCAGGGCAAGTCCAATATGCTCAGAGGCAGTCTCTATTGTGTGTGTGGGGGGGGTGTGTGTGTAAGAAAGGCTACCCTACCCCAGGCTATCTCGTGGGATGCTTTGCCCTAGTCTTCTGCTCCAGCATAGCCTTGGAAATGGGCAACTCCAGGTCTAAACCCAATTCTCAGTCAGCACTGGGGTGTGGGTTGTGAAATTTATTCAAATTGCGGCTGTCTCACACCATACACCCAAAACAAATGGTTTGAGCTCCCTCATGCCCAGGTTTTTTGTGTTTTTTTTGTTGTTGTTGTTGTTGTTGTTTTTGTTTTTGTTTTTAGATTTATTTACTGTGTAGTCTTCTGTTCGCATGTTTGTCTGTAGGCCAGAAGAGGGCACCAGATCTCATTATGCATGATTGTGAGTCACCGTGTGGTTGCTGGGAATTGAACTCAGAACTCTGGAAGAGCAGCCAGTGCTCTTAACCGCTGAGCCCTCTCTTCAGCCCATGTCCAGGGTTTTATGAGATCTGCACTCTGCCCGTTCCTCTGTAGCCAGCGCTCACCAGCCCAGGTTTTCTTGGCCAGAGCTGTGGTGGCTCCAGATGCCTTTCTACCCGGAGACTGATCCTGAGCCCTGCACAGTGACTGCGCACCCCTCACCTCTCTTCTTCCTCTTGTCTCCCCTGTTCTGTCTGTCTGTCTGCTTCTCTCATGTCCCCACTCCGACAGCCTTTCCCTTTCCCCTATTCCCTAATAACCCCTGTCCTAACCCCATTGCGCGCGGTGTGTTCTCTTAGTGGCAGCCCTTGGCCCACCAAAGGTACCCACTTCACTGTTCTCTTTTCATTGGCTCTCCTGGTATTCGATCTGGCCATGCCGGGATCTTACCTGCACATTCCACCCCCAACAGATCTGATCTCCCTGCTTGTGTCTGTGTGCTATTCCTCCCTACCACGGTAGGACCCTAACCACCCACTCCTCCTGCAACAGATGTGCTCTCCGTTTGCCGTTTGTTTCTATCTGCTTTCCCACCCTAAACTTCTAACCGTCTGGTCCATACATTTGTTGCAATGTGAGAGTCAGAGCCAGGGAGGCCAGCTACTGTGTACCCAGCACACACCTGTTCTCCCTTGCATTGTCTACTGATCTAATCCACAATAAGACATGCCAGCTCCTGGCAGCACCTCTATCCCCCTTCCCCCCCCCCCCGCAAAAAAATGGATGAGTGCAGCACCAAGGCCATTTTAATAGGTTTCTCCACCAACAAATTGAAAAAGTATAACAGGTTTATTTGAGCAAAGCAACTTGGTGTTTCCTTCTTTGTTCTGCATACTTAGGTTTAACTATAATACAATATGGAGAGTTTCTTTTTTGTCATGTCTATTTGGTGTTATATATGCTTTTGTTTTTTCCCTTTTCCTACTTTAATGGGCCTATTTCCCTCTAGATTTTGGAATTCCTCTACTGTAATTGTACTGAAAACATTTTCTATGCCTTTGACATGGAGTTCTTTGGAGGAAGAAAAAGCAATGGAAAGAATAAGGAGAGAAGGTTCTTGCAGGGGAGGGGTAGATGTGGGAGTAAAAAGGACAAAAGCAAGATAGGGCAAGGAGGGCTAAGCCAGGCTGCTAAAATAACATTGGGTATTAAAGAGGGAAATTGCTGGGTAGAGATATAGGATATAAAAACTGGCTCAGAGGTTAAGAGCACTGGCTGCTCTTCCAGATGTCCTGAGTTCAATTCCAAGCAACCACATGGGTGCTGTCTTCTGGTGTGAGGCATACATGGAGGCAGAATGCTGTATACATAAATGAAATCTTAAACTAAAACAACTGACTGGCTGGCGGCCTCTCTCACACTCCTGCTGTTGGAAGGGGCTCTGTGATGGGTAGTCTGTCCCATTCTGTCCGAGCCTTCCTTTGGTTGATTATATCTTCAGCACTGTCCAGTCCGTGGGCAGTGCTTCACAAGAGGAAACAGATTTGCCCAAGCCTGTTAACCCCCTCAGGACTCTGGTCTTGATGGTGCTCAGAGTCCGTGAAGGTTCTGGTGTAGTCTTCAAGTGTCTCCGGGTTATCAGCCCCCTGAAGACTGGATCTTTCGCGGTACACTATTTGTCAGGCTCTAGCACAAAGCATTTCACTTACACTTAGTTTTCTATGAGTGTGGTTCACAGAGAGTCTCAGGCTGCTGAATGGTGAGAGAAGATAGTAGATACTCTAGGTACCAGGCTATATATTAAAAATGATATAAGGGCTGGCAAGATGGCTCAGCAGGTAGATACTTGCTGCCAAGCTTGACACTCTGTGTTAGACCCCCAAACCAACACAGTAGAGGGAAGAGAACTAACGTCCTCAAGTTGTCCTCTGGCTTCCACATGTGCTGTAGCACTCAATTCCACTCTAAATAAATTAAGATCATTAAAAAAGAGAAACCAAGATAAATACTTATACAAGCATAAGACATTATCAAACACTGAAACATTTTAAACTACATATTTTATTGAAAATACTGACTTTGAATCACATTTTTGGAAAAAAACATGGTTTTACCCACTCTAGATAAAGTAGCACCTTTTTTGGATGACCTATTTTACTAAGTGCATGGGCTATACTGCCTCCTGGTGGTCTGGTGGTCGGTCACTTGGGACATGCTCACAACACAGTCACACAGCTAAATAAGTGTCATTGTGTATGGAATTTGCTGCCTCCTCCCCTCCCTGCCAAGAAGGGACCCACTGCAATGAATGCTGCTTCTGCAGGAAAAGAGGTCTTCCACTGACACTTGGCCAAACTCACCAAAACACCGCTTTCTAAATTGCTGTCATCTTTTTTTGTTTGTTTTTTAGACATGGTCTCTTGTTACCTAGGTTAGCCTGGAACTTACCACATAGCCAAGGGTGGATGTGAACTTCAGACCCTCCCCTATGTACCTCTCTCCAGTGCTGATTATAGGGGAGCCACCAAGCCTGGATTTATGCAGCTTTAAGGAGAGAACCCAGGGTGCTGTATGCTAGATATCACTTCACCAGCTAAGCTACATCCATCCTCTGTCCTTTTTTTTTTTTTTAAATTATTTTTAATTTACATACATTGGTGTTTTGCCTGTGTGCATGTCTGTGTGAGGATGTTGAAAGCCTGGAACTAGAGTTACAGTTGTGAGCTGCCATGTGTGTGCTGAGAACTGAACCCAGGTCCTCTGGAAGAGCGACAAGTGCTCTTACCCACTGAGTCCTTCTCTAACACCCCCATTACTGTCTTTTTAAAGACAGAAAAGCCTGCTAATATATAAAAGTAGGAATGTCTCCAAGTAATTCAGACTATAGTTCAGACACCCCAATAGCAAGGTTAGTGCAAGCGTAGCCTTTCACCTCCCAATTTGTCACTGCTCCGCTCTCTTGTTTGTTTCCTTTTCTGCTTTGTGATGTTTTGTTTTCATTTTTATTTTTTGGAGACAGGCTCTTACTAAGTAGCCTTGGATGGCCTAGAACTTACTATGTAGACCAGGCTGGCCTTGAATCACAAAAGCTATACCTGCTTCACCATGAATTTGTGGCAATCCTCCTGTCTCTGTCTCCCAGTGCTGGGATTGTAAGTGTGAGCCATCATGCCTTTAATACCATCTTTATAAAAATAAATACCACTACTCTGGCCAACTCCATGTCCACTGCCTGGGAACAGGTGACCATGCCTCAGGCTTCAGGAAGTCGATCGCCCCAGAAAATAGACATCAACACAGCCTAAGCTCATTCTCCAGGCCGAACACTTTAGACTTGAGGTCCTTCAGCTCTCCCTGTATCTTATGTGCTCGTCTATTGCTGTCACGGACTTCACACAGAATGGCAAGGTCCTGGTTTCCCCGGGCACTCACTGTTGCCTACAGAGTTGAGAAAAGAGAGAGAGAGGGAAAGAAAGAATTAGGGCATAAGCTAAGGGAGAAAAATCAAGTCATAAAGAACATGCTATACTGGTTAACTCCTTTTTTTGCATATGATAAATGCAATCCTAAATCCTTCAGTGACTAATTTTAAAAATGAAAATGTTTAATTAGTCAAAGTATTTCAGAGAAGAAGACAGAACATCATGAATTCAAGGTCATCCTTAGCCACATACGCAGTTTGAAGACAGCCTGGGCAACACAAAACCATCTCAAAAACTGAATCAAACAAAACAAAATGGCAATGAAGCATTGGGATAGAGTTTAATAAACAATTAGCAACAGACAAAAAGACCAGTACAGCATTGGTGAGATCACTCAGTGGGTAGCACTGGCCACGAAGCCTGATGATCTGAGTAGGATCCTAGGAGCCATATGGCGGAAAGAGTGAACGGACTCCTACAAGTTGTCCTCATGGGCCATGGCATATATATCCTCACACAAAAATAAATGTTAATTAAAAAAAAGACCAATAAATAACATTATTGGAAAATTTGCCAAAAATAATAGAAAGTGTTTCTTTTTTCCTATCGACTTTGTTCAGAACATACTATTTAGGACCTGTGGTGACTGTTAAATCTCCACCAAAGCTCTCGAGATACTAGATACTTGATTATTTTCCCTACTTTGAAAACAGACAATTCTTTTAAGAGAGAGCGAGTATGTGTGTGCTCTCACCCATGTACACAAGAGTGAAGGTCAGAGAATGACCTCAGATTGTCCCTTGTCACTCTCCATCATTTTTGCTTTGTTTTGTTTCTGAGACAGGGTCTCACTTTGTAGCCATGGCTGCCCTGAAACTTGCTATGAGGACCAGGCTGGTCTTGAATTCACAGAGATCCTCCTGCCTCTGCCTCTGCCTCTTGAGTGCTGGAATAAAGGTGTGTGCCTGGGAGATGGTCTCTCATGAACCTGGAGGTCAGTGCTTTGACTCTCCCTCCTGACAGCACATCCCAGAGTCCTGTCTTCATCTCTTAGCACTGGGTTACAGATGTGTGTCTGTGCTTGGATTTCACGTGGGTGCCAGGGATCTGACCTCAGGCCATCATGCTTGCACAGCCAGCAACTCTACTCAGTAGGCCAACTGCCCAGCTCCCCTCCCCCAAACACACCTAATTCTTTTAATCTGGTTGTAAGGTTAAGTCTGTTTTCCCAGCAGGGTGTTCCTGTTGAACTGATATTCAGAGGATTCAAGGATACTTATCTTTTGGTGTCCAACTAAGGACACAGCACATCCTTCTGAGTTTTTGTAGTGCCATTGTCTTCTTATTCTTACACACACTCTACTGAAATCCATATCACATCCTTGGCCATCCTTCTGAGGAACCCTCCTGACCATCCTTCTACACCCCACCCCTCCCCTTTCCTAACTCAGGGGCAAAGGTACCTTATAGAGCATTTTCTCCAGGTCTTTCAGCTTCTGTCGAAGAATCTTAATGTCTGTCTTGAAGCCTTCTACTTCCAGGATGCGTCGATGCTCAAGGGCTTCATAGCGTTTTGTCATTATCTGTAAGCGCTTGCCCATCTTGTTGGAGCGATCCTAAAAATGGGTGATGGGGAGTTTATGAAGAGTAGGAAATCAGTCTCCAGAGCTGTCTGCATGTCTCCATGTCACAAGTGTGACAGCACTATATACCTTGAAGATCTCTCTCCTCACTCCCTCTTCCTCCTGGATTCGAGCAAGTTCCTCTTCTAAGGAAATGCACTGTTCTTGGTACATGCTGGACAGCTTTTTCTCTTGCACGAGTTTATCCTTTAGAGACTGTAGGCCAAAGGGATAAAAACATTTAATGTTCAGCACTATAATAATCAGGTAATTCTTTTTTTAAATTTTATTTTTATTTTATGTGCATTGGTGTTTTGCCATTATGTATGTCTGTGTGAGGGTGTTGGATCCTGGAGTTGTGAGCTGCCATTCGGGTGCTAGGAAATTGAATCCAGGTCCTCTGGAAGAGCAGTCAGTGCTCTTAACTGCTAAGCCATTTCTCCAGCCCCATCAGGTAATTCAAAATAACACTGTGGTAAAGAAGGGAGGGAAAAATTTCCAGAGCAAATGTGTAGGAACAGATATGAGGAGATACCCGGGGCCTCACCATGTCTACATTTCCCTCTCTGTACTTTCCCTCAGGTGTAGTGTATATAAGTACATAAATATTTAAGATAAAACAACCCAGGTGTTCTAGTTAGGGTTCCTATTGCTGTGATGAAATACCATGAACAAAGCAGCTTGGGGGAGAAATGGTTTATTTGGCTTACACTTCCACACACTGTACTGCATCACTAAAGGAAGTGAGTGATGGGAGATGTCATTCTGTAAACATGTTTCTCGTATCGGTATGAATAAAGTACTGTTGGCCAATAGGAAAGCAAGATAGGTGGGACTAGGAGACAAGGAGGATTAGAGGAAGTAGATTCAAGATGGAGGACGGAGAGAGTAGAACACTGGACCCTCTCTCTGGTAAGATGAGACCACATGGGTTAATATTTAAGACAGAGCCAGCCGATAAGAAATTAGTAACAGGCCAACAGCTTTATATCTAATACAGCATCTCTGTGTGTTATTTGGGGCTGACGCAGTGGTGGGACCAGACCAGCAGGGAAAAACTACTCTTAACAAGTGAGGGCAGAAACTCAAGCAGGGCAGGAGCCTGGAGGCAGAAGCTGGTGCAGAGGCCATGGAGGGTGCTGCTTACTGGCTTGCTCCACATGGCTTGCTCAGCCTGCTTTCTTATAGAACCCAGGGCCACCAGCCCAGGGATGACACCACCCACAATGGGATGGGCCTTCCCAAATCAATCACAATTAAGAAAATGCCCTACCAGCTTGCCTCCAGGGCCATTTTTGGAGATATTTTCTCAGTTGAGGTTGCCTTCTGCTCCCCTCCTTCTATTTGTTAACTCTAGCTTGTGTCAATTTGACATAGACCTATCTAGCATGCCAGCTCTGGTGCTCATGCCCTGTAACCCTAGCACTCTGGAGGCAGACAGGAGGACCAGCAGGTCAAGGTCATCCTCAGCTACACAGTCAATTAACAGCCAACCCTGGGCACAGGGGACGCAGTCTCAAAAAGTAAAAGCATTTTTGGCTGAGAAGAATCACACAATAGAGCTCAGAATTTGATTTAAGGAAGACATTATGTTTCTCACCCTTTGAAAAAAAAAAGAAAAAGAAACATCAACAATATATATTACACGTGCTCCACAGAGAAGCCAAAAAAGTCCTTCAAAACCTTAAACTGGGCCAGCAAGACTGCTCAGCAATTAAGGCACTTCTATGAAGAGTGGATCCCACATGGTGGAAGGAAAACTGACTCCTTCCTACAAGTTCTCTGATCTCTACATTCCTATCATGATACGTTCATGCGTTACAAGAGTCTCTCTCTCTCTCTCTCTCTCTCTCTCTCTCTCTCTCACTCACACACACACACAAATAAATGCAATTTTTTTTTTTTTTTTTTTTTTTTTTGCGAGACAGGATTTCTCTGTGTAGCTTTGTAGACCAGGTTAGCCTTGTATTCACAGAGATCCACCTGCCTCTGCCTCCCGAGTGCTGGGATTAAAGGCGTGTGTCACATGTGCCACCACCACCCAGCCAAATAAATGCAATTTTTAAAATTAGAAAACCAAAAAACAAATCAGATCCATATACAGAAGTGACACCTGTAACCCAGATGCTCTGGAGACAGATGGAGAATTACTGGAGCCCAGGGGTTCAAGCTCTGCCTAGGAAACAACAATGAACCTCCCACTCAAAATAATAAGCTGGTGTTGGTGTGGTAGCACCCTCATCCCAGCACTCAGGAGGCAGAGGCAAGAAAATCAGAAGTTCAAGGCCATCTTCAGCTACACAGTGAGTTGGGAGCCAGCCTGGCTACCTGAAACTCTGTCTCAAGAGTTCAAAAGGAGACAATAGGGTACCTTTCCATCAGGCTATGTTACTTTCTCATATACTGTCTGGCACCGTCAACTATGACTGGCCTCTGCCAGCCTCTCTCGGGATTGCATGTCAGTTACTCCTTGTTGCTCTCCTTTTTTGTCTTGTGGCACTAAGGATTAAACCCAGGGCCTTGTATACAAGTGAGTCCTCCCTTCTCCTTGTTTACTTCACAACCATGATAATGTCCTTCCTTTTCCTCAAGGACTTTCCTCGGGGACTTCAAACTTTTACCCTCTGACAGGAATGCCCTCCCCTAATCTATATTGCAGGCCTCAACAAAAGCACCAGACTTAAAGAGGGTGCCCCTAGGTCCTCTTCTAGTGGGGTTCCAACAAGTAATACAATTGTTATACAATTCTCTTACTAATATAAAATTACTTAATAAACTATGATTTTCTTTGTTCACTAAAATATAAACACAACGAGAAAAGGCTCTGTCTAACATATACAGTGCTTTCTCCAGAATCTGGTCCATTTATTGAACCAGGAAATGAAGAGTAATATTTTTGTTGTCTTTTTGAGAGAGGGTCTTACTCCATAGTCTGTCTTGAGTTCTGTCTAGCTTAGTATTTCAAATCCTCAAATACTATCATGATCAGTCTCTTTGCTATCTAGTTCATGACCTTATTGCTAGATCAGCTTCATGAACTCAGTGGACCTTATATAACAATTTACAGGCTCTTTGAAATCTCCAAGTCTCTGACAGGGTCTTGTGTAGCTTGGGCTGGCCTCAAACTCACTATTCATCCAAGGATGACCTTGAATTTGTGACTCTCCTGTCTCTAATCTCCAAAAGCTTGGATTAAAGGAATGGGCCTGGCTTTATGTAGTGCTGAAGATAAAACCCTAGGCCTCTGTATGCTATGCAAATATTCTACCAACTGAGCCTTAACTCCAACTCAAGGAAATCATTTCAACCGTCCCAGGAAAATAATGGCGTTACCTTAATATATTCATTTTGAGTATGGTGACTCTCATGCAAAACTGGAATAACTTTTCCAAGCTTCTCTTCTTTCTTCTTACATTGCACTCTATACTGCATAATCTTTGCCATCAAGTGGTCTTTTTCAAGCATCCATAGCTTCTCTTTATTTTGGTTTTCAAATCTTAGCTGTAGAAAGTCTTTGGTGCTCTCGTAGAGCAGTTCTTGGGTATGATGGAGACTATGAGAAAAGGAACAACTGTGAGCATGAAGATGCTCACACTGTTTAGCTGAAATACGGGGTTATTCCAAAAGAGAAATACAGCTTCTTTAAAAATTGTTCAAGATGAACTCCCAAATAGCAGTTTTACAAAGACACACGGTCTGATCATTGACAGTTTTACAGGCTTTATTAAGTAAAGTGTGTTGTACCTACCATGCTCCCTGGTTCAGACTCAACTTTACAGAAATGTTCCTGAGTGCTAATTTGAGGGTTTGGGTTTGGAAGATGACAGAACTATGTATACATAGCACAAGTAAGTATGAACTATTCCCAAGGAGCGATACAAGAAAACCTGAGCCACAGTACTCTGACTGCGTACTAATCCCAGTTCCTAAACATCAGAGACAAGCTGTGTTTTTGCTGTTTTCGCTTGTGTTTGTGCTGGCTTCCATGTATGAAGGCCTATACCAAAATCTTCGTTTGAGAGGGGTGCTCTAACATATCCCCAGCCCTCTCCCCTCTTTAAATGTTTATCCTTTATTTTGTCTTAGGGACTTGCTAAATTGTCTAGGCTACCCTTGAGTTTCAATCCTCCTGCCCCAACCTCTTGAGCAATGGTATTATAGGCATACACCACCACACCCAGCTGAATTCTTGTCCTTTTCTTGAGATCAATTTCCGTATGAAGTTATGTTAATAATTTAGCCTATTTTAATTTTTCTGTTCTCTAAATCCTTACATCAGTTTTAATTTGTACTGTCTTATAATTCAATAGTTGCTTATATACTATATCAGATTTTGAATGTCAACATGCATATTTTTCCTGAGCAAAAGATAGCTGGATTATTTTCCTTACCAGCAGAACAAGGGTAGTACCAAGTACTGGAAACACAAAAGTGTTAATTAGTTCTAACAACTGTTGTTGATATTGGGAATAAAAAAATGATGTTTGTAGCTCTAAAAAAAGAATGTCCTCAGGAGATGGCACCAACATCAACATCTAGAGAAGTACTACAGAAAGCATACAATTGCCTGCTGGAGCATTAAATACCATAAAGCAGTCACTATAATTCCCTACTTATCAAATAATAGCTCTTTCCTAAGTAGCAGGGCACATATGTAAGTTTTACGTTCAAAATAATAAATTGGTTTGAAAATATCCAGGTTAAGGAGTAGGAGAGGGACAAGAGAAAGTAAAGGGAGTGAATATGACTAACATATATTATGTACATGAATGAAAATGGCAGAATGAAATCCACTATTATGCATAATTTGTCTAATTAATATATGCTAATAAAAACATTTAAAGTATCACAGCTGGGATGATGATGTATATAGTCCTAGGTGCAACACCAAACATTGCAAAAATAAATAAAGTATCAGAAAAAAAAAAAAAAAAAAAGGAGATACCCCAAGGGACAGTCATTGATGGTCTAGGGTTTCAGACCACACAATAGCCTTAGGATGATTCACTAATGAAAGGAACTGAGCATGAGCCTGAGTAGATTTGTATAATATGTATGATGGCTATTTACATACTGGATGGAAAACTAATATAAATAAAATCACACATTATTAGGGCTGGAGATGGCTCAGTGGCTGAGAATACACACTGCTCTGACCTCTTCTGGACTCTGTGGACAACTGTACTCATACAGACACAGATTTAAAGATACAGATACTATGAGCTAGGAGTATAGCTTTGTGGTATACTGCTTGCCTTGCATTCATGAAGCCCCAAGTTTAATACCCAATACTCCTCCACAAAAAATAAACAGCCAGGCCTGGTGATATGTGACTTTTATCCCAGAACTTGGGAGGTAGAGATAGGCAGGTCTCTTATGAGTTCAAGGCCATCCAAAACTAAATAGTGAGATCCTATCTTAAAAAAAAATCAAAAGCCAAAAGTGAATTAAGTTAGAGCTGGGAATGTAACTCAGTGGATACAGTGTTTGTCCAGCATATACAATGTCTTGTGCTCAATCCTCAGTACCACATAAATGGGCTATAGAAGAATATTCCAGTAAGCCTAGCACTTGGAAGGCAGAGACAGGAGACTAAGTCATTCAAGGTATTCTTGGATACATAGGGATTTTGAGACCAGCCTAGCTAGAGACCTTGTCTCAAAAATAAATAAATATGGGGCAGAAGAGATGGCTCAATGGTTAAAGACATTTGCTGCTCTTCTAGAGGACTCAGGTTCAATTCCCAGCACCCATATGGCAGTTCACAGCCATCTGTAATTCCATTTCCATGGAATCTGACATCTCTTTCTGGCCTCCCCAGGCACTAGGTATGCATGTGGTGTTTAGACAAACATGTAGGCACATATACATAAAATAAATTTTTTTGTTTTAAAGTTCAGTTGGTAAAGTACTTGCTATCTAAGCACAACCTGAATTTCTCCCCAGAACCCACATGAAAAGCCAGGCGTGGCAGTGCACACGTATAACTCCAGTGCAGAGCAGATGAAGACAAGCAAATCCCTGGGGTTTGCTAATCATTGTGTTTCAGGCCAGTAAGAGACCGTGTCTCAAAAAACAAACAGCACCCCAGACTGACCTATATACAACACACACACACACACACACACACACACACACACACACACACACACACCCCTATACACTTATACACACACATACATATTAAACATGAGGCCAGTGTGGTGAGGATACCTTTAATTCCAACACTTGGGAAGGCAGAGGCAGAAGGATGTCTGCATTTTCAAGGCCAACCTCCATTAAATAAAAGTTCCAGGCCAGCCAGGAATACACAGTGAGATCCTGTCTCAAAAATAAAAATAAGATAAAAACCAACTAAGCATGCTTAATGGGGAAAAGAAATGGTTAGGTACAACTTAACAAGTATCATCCAGTATGCAACATGCATATCTTGTGGCTACTATAGGACACAGGGTAGGTCAGGAACTGAATAGGAAAACCCTAGGGAACAAAGATGTAAGTACAATACATGGTGGGAGGGCCATCATAAAGGCACACCCCAGGCAATGGCAGCACACGCCTTTAATCCCAGCACTTGGGAGTAGAGGCAGAGGCAGGTGGATCACTATGAGTTCAAGACCAGCTTGATCTACAAAAAGAGTTTTAGGACAGCCTGAACTGTTAAACCGAGAGAAAGAAAAAGAAAAAAGGAAGGAAGGAAGGAAGGAAGGAAGGAAGGAAGGAAGGAAGGAAGGAAGGAAGGCAGACTAACCATTAGTCATTATGGGAATGTGGATTTGGTCTGAGTAAGTCTTCATTCAGCTCAGGGGTTACTATGCCTAGTGACATACTTGCTAAAAACAATTGTTCCTTAAATTATTAGTCTGACTGGAGCACAAACTAAAGCAACATGGGAGCCGAGGCTATAAGTACCAGGAATTGAACTGGGGTCATCCTCAAGAGCAGTGAGTGCTCTTAAATACTAAGCCATCTCTCTATCCCCATTCTATTAATCTTTTCTTTTCTTTTTTAATAATTTATTTCTATTTTATGTACATTGGTGTATTGCCTGAATGTATGTTCGTATGTCTGTGTGAAGGTGTCAGATCCTGGAACTGGAGTTATAGACAGTTGTGAGCCACCTGATATATGCACTGGGTACCAAATCCAGGTCCTCTGCAAGAACAGTAAATACTCTAACAGTGGAGCCACCTCTTAAGGCATTCAGAAAAGTAGGACACCTGTTAGGACCGTAATTCTTGAGTGCTCACCTCTTGGTCAGCTCTTTGATTTTGTCTTGATTTCTTTGGTGTTGAACTTGTATCTCCTCGATTCGAATCCGTCTATCCTCCATGAGTCCTTCAACTTGTTCTCTAGAAAGCTTTGTCTGCTCTTCCAGCTGTGCCTGAAGTGCTTCCACCTACATGGGCCAAGACGAAAGAGCTAGTTATCCATTCCTGCTTCTATACTTCATGTCTCTGAAGGTGAGCCCTTCCTACAAACAAAGTAAAACGGGGTGGGGGGCAAACAGGAGCAAAACAAACAAAATCTCAGTTCTCATTTTATGTGTATGTGCACCGTATATGCCTGTGCTGTGTTCATACTGGTGTGTGGACATGTGAGTGAGCAAAGTGTCTCCTTCAATCACTCCTCACCTCATTTCTTTCCTTTTTTCTTTTCTTTTTTTATTTTTCTTTTTTATTTTTTTGAGACATGGTTTCTCTGTTTCTCTGTGGTTTTGGAAGCTGTCCTGGAACTAGCTCTGTAGATCAGGCTGGCTTCAAACTCACAGAGATACAGCTGGCTCTGCCTCCCCAGTGCTGGGATTAAAGGTGTGTGCCACCAACACCTGGCTTACAGTTTTCTTCAGTTATGTTAGAAGGTAAATTAGGTATAAAATTTTGGACTCACCAAGACAGTATTAATAATAGAGTATTTTCTCTGAATTTGCCAAATGTAAATGGACTGGACATTGTAAATGTAAATCTTACCTGATAATTGTTCTTTGTTTGTTTGTTTGTTTGTTTGAGACAGGGTTTCTCTGTGGTTTTAGAAGCCATCCTGGAACTAGCTCTTGTACAACAGGCTGGCCTCAAACTCACAGAGATCCTCCTGCTTCTGCCTCCTGAGTGCTGGGCTAAAGGCATGCGCCACCACCACTACCCAGCCCTGATAATTGTTCCTATTGTATAAGGTTTACTATGTTAAGAGTGAAAACTCTTTTCTTTTTATTTAGACAAAAGTGGAAATGTTGAGAGATATTTGATTACCCTATGTAAAGATGTCACTGTGATTAGTTTAATAAAAGCTAAATGGTCAGTAACTAGGCAGGAGAGATAGATGGGACTTCTGGAGAGAGAGCTCTGGGAAGAAGGAAGGCGGAGCCACCAGCCAGAAGGAGAGGAAGCAGGTTGGGCAGTACAGCGTAAAGGACACCGAGCCACAATAAGAACATAGATCAAAGGATACGGTTTAATTTAAGTTGTAAGAGCTAGTGAGACGAGCCTAAGGTAGAGGGTGAGATTTTATAATGAATAGTAAGTTTCCATGTTACTTTTTGTGAGCTGGTAGCCCAAAGAAAAATCCCTCTACACCCAGTAGTAAGATAATGATTTATTATTTTCCTAGATTTTTAGAACATATGCACTAACTGAATGATTATAACCCCAAATGTTGATTTGTCATTCAGACAACTTTTCTATGTTACTCTCTGTATAGTCCTCAGGCCAATTACAAAGTAAATTCTAGCCAGGCATGGTGGCATCTTTAATCTCAACATTCAGGGGGTAGAGGCAGAGGCAGGCGAATCTCTGTGAGTTTTTGGTCAGCCTGGTCTACACAGCAAATTCCAGACTAGCCAGGGCTACATGATAAGATTTTGTTGCAAAACAAAAACAAAACAAATGGGAATTCTTACTTTGGATGGTTTTGTTAGTTAGGGCTTAGCGTGTTAACTAAAGGTTGACAGAAGCATTCTAGAATATTCAAATAGACAATAATGATTTTAAAGTATAAGTGCTATGAGGCTATTCTCACTTGAAAAACCCAAATCTCCTCTTGGGCATCCCTGTGACTCCTTCCAAATATGCACCATATACAATGATCACACACACACACACACACACACACACACACCAACTTTGTATAGTTCCAGATCTGTATGGGATTAGGCTGCCAGAGGCAGTGTAATGGGCTACCGAACTATTATAGTTATGACATCTTGTGAATACTGTAAGTGCTAAAACTATCTTAGTTTTCTTAGTGGTCTCTGACCACTCAGATCAACCATAAATTCCTAGTATAAACTGGTCTTTGGACCTGCCATCAGTTCTATACAATGTGTTCCTGACCTGAAGGTTATATGAACTGACTAACCACTTAAGTGCTATATCTCCGCTTTTGTAAACAGTACTTGCTTGCTGCAGATGTCCATACTGCCTTTCTGTATGTGTTGCAATTGCAGTTTTTGCCTTTAAAAAAAGACAACAAATTGAAGGCAGTGACTAAAGCCTCCACATGACTTATTCAGGTATCTCAGGATTTTTCTCTTTGGGTACCCCATAACAATAGAACTCCTCAATCTCACAACATCATCTCCTAGAGGAGTGGGGATGTATGCAGATAGGGTTTTGCTAGGTAGCCCTAGTTGCCTGGTGTTCCCTACATAGAGCCCAGCAGGACTCAGATGTATGGCAATCCTCCTGCCTCAGCCTCTCCTAAGTGCTGGAATTACAGGAGTATACCACAGGATATGGCTTTCCTTTATTACATCAATGTTCATATTTGAATCTATATTAAAACTATCTCTAAACCAGGTGTGGTGGTGCATGTCTTTAATATCAGAAACGATGAACCTCTAAATTTGAGGGTTACATTATGAGCTCTAGGACAGCCAGAATTGTGTAGACAGACCTGTCTCAAAACAAAACAACAAATTTACCTCTAACTTTTCTTGGAAAAAAGAAGTGCTTAAACATTAAAAATAATCTCAATTTTCATGGTCCCTAGGATGCCTGAATGCAATGTAAGTGTAAAGAGATAGTTCTCATACAATAGCAAAGGTGCATTACACACAGCTAAATGTGTAGAATGAAACCACTTTAGTCTGTCGAGACAAATGTATCACCTGCAGGATGAGTGTTTGTACGTCCCTCTGGTAACGATCAGATATGTCTTCCTTTTCTTTTATTGTTACTCTTTTTTTGCTTACTTTAGGATCTAAAATAGAAAACAAAAGTTCATCAAAAGCTCTGCTCAACTCTTCTTTCTGCTTCTCAAGCATCAATACTAACCCTGTAGGAATTCAGCTTCCTTTACCTGTAAGAGAAGGAAGGGAGGAAAAGGAACACACTTGAGACCTACAGTGCTCGATTCCCAGGCAGGAATCTCTTAAGGGAACTCTGCAGCATTTCACCTGGGTAATCCTATTCATCTTTTGGCAGACTCTTCCTCTGGAGTTGTGAATATTTTCTTAGTAAAAGCCCAATTTAGACACTTTAGTTATGACGTAACAATTTTCAAAAGAAAAGGTAACAACAACAAAAATGGAATGAGATCACTAGCGCCTGGGAAGGATGGAGGAAGAAAAGGGGAGGACGGCTGATGGGGCAAGGTGCAGCTAGACAACTGGAGTAGCCGCTACCATTTTGTGGCACAATAGCATACCAGAAGCAGACAGGGCTAGAGAGTACTTACAAGAGGTGATGACTATCTACCAATTACCCTGGTCACTAACACAATGTATATATACACACATTACAGTGTCACACTGTACTCTACAAATATGTATAACTGTTGAGTTAATTAATAAGAATTTTTGTTTTTATGGTTTTTTTTTGGAGGGGTTGTTTGTTTGGTTGGTTGGTTTTGGGTTTTTGGAGACAGGGTTTCTCTGTGTAATAATCCTGGCTGTCCTGGAACTTGCTCTGTAGATCATGCTGGCCTCTAACTCAATGAGATCCACCTGCCTCTTCCTACCAAGTGCTAGGATTAAAGGCATGTGCCATTACTGCCAGGCAAAAGAAACTTGTACTAAGAGCTAGGGAAATGAATCAGTCAGTAAAGTGCCTGCTGTGTAAACAAGGGGTCTTGAGTTGAGATCCTCAGCATCCATGTAAAAATCCACATCCATACACCCATTACCCCAACACCAGACAGGCAGAAGCAAGAGCATCCCTGGAACTCACTGGACAGTCAGTCTAGCCAAATAAGTGAACTCCAGGTTCAGTGAGAAGCTCTGTCTCAAAAATGTGAAGACCCCTGACATAGACCTCTGGCATCCACACAAATGCACACCCAATACACACTTGCCTCCATATGAACACACACACACCACACACACACACACACATACACACACACACACACACACATCTTGCATTAAACAATAGTTCATTCTTTTCACAGTTCTAGACATGTATGGTATTAGACTGCCAAAGGCATCATTATGAACACTATGTGTATAGTAGGGAAAACTTTCTAATTGCTTGCATTAGGATTTCTAATTCAACATCAGTGAAGATTTCTAGAACAGTGGTTACCTGCTTTGAACACTGAAGGCTCATCCTGTTCACTGACATCTACAGGCTGGATAGTCTTTTGCAGAATGCTTACCTAAAGAAGAAAATAAGGTATAGAAGTAATCTCAATATATGTGAAATTGCAGTTTTAGCCTTAGTTTTACAGATTCAACATTTATAGGTTAAATTTGCTCAAAACTGATATAATCATGTAAACACATTACATTTGTATGAGAGGGAACATATTTTTTTGGATAAAATCCAGTGTTAATACAAACTAACAATAAATAAAACCACATGGCTACTTAACAAGATATATTTTGAAAAGTACTCTTTGAGTAAGATGTGGTGGTACACACCTTCAGTCTCAGCACTCAGCAGGCAGAGGCAGGCAGATCTCTGAGTCTGAGACCAGCCTGGTTTATAGAGTGAGTTTCAGGACAGCTAGAGAGGGTTGTTATACAGAGAAACCCCATTTCAAAATACCAAAAGAGAGAGAGAAAAAAAGTAAGGTGTTCTTTGACAAGGACATGAAAAGAAAAATATGCACATTAGATATATGATAATGTTATAGAGAAATATTTTATGAAGTGTAAAGGCAGCCAAGCAAGGTGGTGTGCCCCTGTGTTCCCCATATTTGGGTGGCTGAGGCAGGCAGATGACAAGTTTGAGGCCAGACTGGGTTACCTACTGAAGTCCAGATTTGCTTGGGTTACATATTTAGACCTTGTCCCATCTCATCCTGCTCCTCCCCACTGCAAAACAGGGTTTCTCTATATAGCTTTGGCTGTCCTGGAACTTGCTCTATAGATCAGGCTAGCTTCTAACTCACATAGATCCTCCTGCCTCTGCCTCCCAAGTGTTGGAATTAAAGTGTGTCTCACCATCTGTGTGCTTTTGATAAAGACTATTATTAATTTGTAATCAGTATAAAAAGGCCTGAAAAGAAATTAAGTACTGAAAACTCTTCTTCACAAAGACTACTTCTGCTTTCTTCTCCAATCTCAGCTAAACATGTGTCCATCTAAGCTTTAGTTTTCCTTTTGTTCTTCTCTGGTTCAGTGCTGGGAAACAAACTGCACAGTGAAGATCTTCCAGAATGTTTGTGGGGAACACTCTCAGGAGAGCTACCTCTGAGGAGATAAGGGTGGTCTGGTTGGGTAAATGGAGAACTTCAGGTGTGATCTGGTTACAGCAGGTCCCAGCCAATACCAAGGGGGATCTGGACCTGAATGGCTTTTTAGAGCCATCTGAATTGAGGCAAAAAGAATGGATTCTTATTCCCCTGCGCCCCACTAAGAAGGCACAGAATGCAGACTGTCCATGAGGGATGGGAGGCATAAGCAGGGAAACAATGTCCTTTCTATTCAGTTCTGAAGGAAGAGTGAACTGTGAGCCATGAGCAGGTGATAGTCCTTACTGCTGAAGAGGGAGACCCACTACAGTTCCCTTCTAGATACAGCCAAGAAATTGTTCCAAAGCCCCTTCTCTGGATTCCTGAATTGAAATACCTAATGTTTTAATAGCTGGAGCTGAGGTATACATTGATCTTTTTCATTTTTAATTTGTGGTTATAATCATTTTTAAAACAATAGAAGCTGGGCTATAGCTTAGATGTAGAGTGCTTATGTAGTGTCTTATTTAGGCTTTCTGTTGTTGTAAAGACACCATGACCATGGCAACTCTTAGAAAAGATAACATTTAATTGGGGTGGCTCACTTACAGTTTGTATTTTTACTTGCTCAGTTTGCTCTTTTTCATTATAAGTCTTCATCAGAGTTAACACTAATAACCACATGTCAGAGTCTATACTGGGCTGTTTTGAGATTTCTCCTGCCAACAGAACTAATTCAAAACTCTTCACTTTGGCCCCAGGCAGACTTTGGACAAGAGTGAAAAGCAGCCACATTCTTCACCAAAATATCACAAGAACAATTTCTAGGCAACATACTAAAATTCTTCTCCTCTGAAACCTCTGTGACCTTCAACTCAGACAGCTGCCTGCCTCAGCCTTCCAAGTGCTGGGATTAAAGTGTGTGCCACCACCATCTACCATGGTTTCTTTCTTTTTCTTTTAAGATTTTTTTTTTTTAATTATGTATATAGTGTTCTATCTGCTTGTATGCCTGCACACCAGAAGAGGGCACCAAATCTCATTAGAAATTGTTGTGGGCCACCACGTGGTTGCTGTGAATTGAACCCAGATCCTCTAGAAGAACAGCCAGTGCTCTTAACCTCTGAGCCATCTCTCCAGCACCCCCAGCATAGTTTCTTAGTAGTGAAGAAAAAAAAAAAAAAAAAAAAAAAAAATCTTCAAACAGTTTTACAGAAAAAAAAAACGCTTTAAACCTTTAAAAAGTAGATACTGGCTGGCTAACTCCATGGCCACTTCCCAAGTGGCGTCTCTAACAAGTAGAGATGCTCTGACTGTGGGCTCTCAGCTGTGTCTCGTAAAGGTCATGCTCATCACAGCATAGCAGCAAAGAGTACTTACTTTGTGGGGAGGCTCCTTATGGAAATAGGTCACTTCCCCGGTGTCGGTTCCCACAAGAGCTAACAGATTCTGAATCTTTTTCTTGTCTTCCAGTTCCCTGCAATTCTCATGAAAAGTAGACATCATATACCAAAGGTAAGGAACCATTTCTATTTAAAGGATTTCCTTTCTGGTTGGGTGGTTGTGGCATACACCTTTAATCTCAGCACTCAGAAGACAGAGGCAGGAGGATTTCTATGAGTTCAAAGCCAGCCAGGTCTACAGAGTGAGTTCTAGGATAGCCAGGACTACACAGAGACACCCTGTCTCAAAAAACTAAAAAATAAAAGTTAAAAAAAAAAAAAAAAAAGTAGAGTAGTGGTTGCCAGGGCCTGGGCGAAAAACACAGAAGGTATTGTTTAATGATCAGGGTTTCAGTGTGGGAATATGAAAAGATTCCAGAGATTGTTCAACAATGTAAATGTGCCTACTTCTATTAAACACTTATACTTAAAATGGGCAAGGCTGATTGAGGCCAAGTCTGTAATTCTAGCTATTCTGAAAAATAAGGCAGGAGGATTTCAAATTGAAGGTCTGCCTGGGCTATAGAAAAAGTTCAGGGATAGTCTGGGCAATTTTAAAAAAGAGTTAGGGGGTGGAATGGAGAGATGGCTCAGTGGTTAAGAGCACTGACTTGTTCTTCCAGAAGACCCAGGTTCAATTCCCAGCACCCACATGGCAGCTAATGACTATCTGTAACTCCAAGATGTGACACCCTCACACAGACATACATGCAGGCAAAACACCAATGCAAATAAAATAAAAATAAAAAAAAAAAAAAAAAAAAAAAAAAAAAAAGAACTAAGGGTATAGCTTGGCAGTAGAGTACCTGTCTGGTATGTGTGAAGCCCTAGGTTCAATCCCCAATATTAAAGCAAAACATACAACAAGCCCCAAATAAACAAAAATGTAAAAGAAGTAAGTCTCCCCCGCCTCTAGAAATCTTGCAGGAATGTATCCATCTGTTCCTGACACTGATCTCCCATTAGCTAATGCCTTCCAAGAATCATTGGGGGCTGGTGGGTTGGCTCAGTAGGATTAAGGCATATGGTTGTAGGAGAAATGCAAGTGCTCAAAGTTGTCCTCTGACCTCCATACTGAGCTGTTGCAGATGTGCACCCCACATACAAACATCAGATAATACACACAATAATAGAAAATAAGTTTTTTAAAGGAATTATGATTGGATAAAGGCTTTCTCTCCCAAATTTATGACTTCTTAATGAGGGCAGCCTGTACTCAACAACTGGTCAATATCAATATAAAAAAGTTTGAATCCGTTGCCTTTGGAAGACTACCCTAGTCCTAGAGCTGGCTGTAGGGTTGGCCTCTGTAACCACCCTATCATAGTTCTAATTTGCTCATTGGTGTTTTACTGTCTTTCAGTTAAAGACACAACCTGGGGACACAACCAAAGAGAATGACTGTAGATGAATTTCATCATTTTAAGTGTAACTTAGAGTTATAATTGTAACAATTCCTTTCTTTTATTCAGTACCTGATTCTTAATCGGTCATTTTCTGAGTAGAGTCGTAAAACATGTTCCCGTTCCTGGAAGAGGCAGACCTGCATATCACTCAGGGCTTTCTGCAATTCAGCAATCTCTTCCTCCCTCTGCTGCAAATTCCATTCAAGTTTATGCTGAAAAAAAAAAAAAAAACAACTAAACAAACAAACAAACAAAAACCCAGTAGAGTAATTGAAAATATATTAGGTGTCAAAGGAAACCTCTTAGTGGATATGGAAGTGTCAGCCCATGTAGGAACATTCCTAACTGACAGTTTCACCAATACACTGAGGTGTAGCTCAGTGGTAGAGCCTCTGGCAAGAAAGCAGGAAGTCCTAGGTTCAATATCTAGTACTATAAGAAAGGAGAAAGGAAGGACAAAAGGAGAGAGGTAGGGACAAAGCTTCAGAATTAATGTGATTGGAAAGTTCACACCCTTAAGTTGTCCCTTCACACACAACACCAAGAATGCCATTAAGTCTCACCTATCTGTGTGTGTGTGAGTGTATGCGTGTGTGCATGCAGGCACGTGTGTAACTCAGAAGTTGATGCTTCTCCAAGTATTATTTGAGACTGGGTCTCTCATTAAGTCGAGAGCTCAGCAATTCTCCAGGGTGGCTTGGTAAGTGAGCTCCAGGACCCTCCTATTCCCAGTGTGGGAATTCTCTCTCTCTTTCTTCTTTTTTTACCTGTCCTTCACAAGCTTCTCTGTACAGGTCTAACTTCTTCAACAGGTCTTCATTTTCTGCCTCACAGTTAGCCATTTTCTTCTGATAGTACTCCAGAAGTTCCTGAGAAGGGCAAAGGACAGCCAGCCGATCCTCGATTGAAGGCAGGGGAGTTGACTCCACTGAGTCTGCCATTTTCTTCCACCTGTGGGGATCACTGAAGCCAGGGGCAGCACCACGTCTGGAGGCAAATGTTATTCTATGTGGAATTAGAAAGTATATATTAACTCCTCTGAATACTTGGAAAACACACACACACACACACACACACACACACACATATATATATATATATTAAATAAAAGGGGTTTTATGGATTCCATTTTGTTTTTTGGTTTCTTGAAACAGGGTTTCTCTGTGAAACAGTCTTGTCAGTCCCGGAACTCACTCTGTAGACCATGCCAGCTTGAACTCACAGAGATCCATTTGCCTCTGCCACCACCGACCCACCCCCAGGTTGCTTTGTTGTATACTATGTAGCCCTGATTGGTCTAGAACTGGCTATGTAGACCAGGTTGGATTTAAACTCACAAAGATCTACCTGTTTCTGCCTCCCAAGTGCTGGGATTACAGTGGGTTTGTGCTCTTAAAGTGCTGATAATTAAAGTGCTTATATGCATTGAAAGTTTGATTCAAAAGATTAATGAAAAATTTTGTGAATTGTTTTCTAACCATCAATAGCTTAAAACATTATCTAAAATAAACGTTAGAGACTAAAAGGGACATTTTAAAGACAATGAGCAGAGACCCACAGCTAAACACTGAGCCGAACTCCTGGAATCCAGATGTAGGGAGGAGTGATGAGCAAAGGGGTCAAGACCATGCTGGGGAAACCCACAGAGACAGCTCACCTAAGCAAGTGGGAGCTCACAGACCCCAGCTGTGTGCCTGGGGAACCAGCATAGGACTGAACTAGGCTCCCTGAACGTGGGTGACAATTAGGAGGCCTCTGATAGTAGATCAGTATTTATCCTTAGTGTACAAATGGACTTTGGGAGCCCATTCCCCCATGAAGGGATACTCTCTCAGCCTAAATACATAGAGGAGGGCCTAGGCTCTGCCCTAAATGATTTGACAGACTTTGATGATCCCCCATGGAAGGCCTCATCCTCTCTGGGGAGTGGATGGAGGGTGGGATGGAGGGGGCCGGGGGTCATGAAAGGTTGGGAGGGAGAGGGGACTGGGACTGATATGTAAAATAAGATTGTTTCTAATTTAAATTTAAAAAACAAAAATATGAAAAAAATTAAAAAGGAAGCCAGGTTGTGTTGGTGAAGGACTTTAATCCCAGCATTTGGGAGGCAGAGGCAGGCAGATCTCTGAGTTAGAGGCCAGCCTGGTCTACAGAGAGAGTACCAGGACAGCCAGGGCTACACAGAGAAACACTGTCTCAAAAAAAAAAAAAAAAAAAAAAAAAAAAAGATAAATAATAAAAACAATATGAATGGATACTACATAGTACCCATCAGAAAATCTAGTATAAGATAGATTCATAGCAACAGGAACAACATCAGATCCCACAATCTCCAGCTTCTGCAACTGCATACAATAGGACAAGATGACGTAAATAAATGGTAAAGGTATCCCAGTACTCAGGAGGCGGAGCAAGGAGAATCAGAAATCCAAGGTTACCCTCAGCTGTAGTGAGTTCTAGGCCAGCCTAGAACAAAGGAGACCTGCGTCAAAAACAAGGGGTGGGGGGCAACTAACCAAGAGACTTAAGCTAACACAGTAAGAGCCAGAAAACAAATAGTAAGCTGGGTGTGGTGGTGCACAACTTTAACCCCACAGGCAGAAGCAAGTATTTCACTGAGTTCCAGGCTAACCTGGTCATGTAGAAAGTTCTAGGCAAGCCAGGGCTACATAATGTGACTCTGTCTAAAAAGAAAAGCAAAAACCAAGCACCACCCCCATAAAAAGAGCCAAGCAAGCAAGCAATAAATGAATTAACTAAGAAAAGAAACTATGCAGAAGTCCTCCTATAAAAAAAAAAAAAAAAAAAAAAAAAACCAATTTGGCATTCTACAATTTACAATATATGGGGCTAGATAAATGGTTCAGACGTTAGGAGAACTGGCTGCTCTTCCAAAGGACTTAAGTTCAATTCCCAGCACCCACATGGCAGCTCTTGACCATCTGTAACTCTAGTTCCAAGGAATCTACCACCTTGTACAAAAGGTGCACAGACACACATGTAAGCAAAACATCTATATAAACAAAAATCTGTAACGTAACAAAATAGACATCAAAGTGTAGAAACTTTGCACAAGACAGCCCAAGTTAGAGCTAATGAATACAGATAATACAAGCATGTGCAATAAATGATCAGCTGGGAGTATTGCTCAACAGTAGAACTCATGTACAAATTGCTGATTTAAATCCTCAACATACACTCGCACAACTATTTTCAATTAGCATGAAGAAATAAACCTGATACTTCCTCAAATATTGAAATATTGATGGGGATGCCCTTCTGTATGCTGTGAATATATGTTTCTCTTATTGGTTGATGAAGAAAGCTGTTTTGGCCAATGGACAGGCAGGATGTAGCCAGGCAGGAAATCCAAACAGAGAGAGACAAAGGGAGTAGGTAGAGTGAAGGAGATGTCATGTAGCTGCTGAGGGAGCAAGAGACACAGGAATTCTCCTACATAGGATACACAGATGAATAGAAATGGGTTAATAATTGAGAGAGAGCTAGCCAATAAGAAACCTGAACCATCAGCCGAACAGTTTATAATCAATATAAGCCTCTGTGTGTTTATTTGGGACTGAACAGCTGCAGGACCAGACAGGACAGAAACATTCACTTACAGAGCTGGCCCTGGAGCTCAGCAGCATGCTTGGCAGACACAAGGGCAACACCCCAGTGCACACATCCATCCCTAGCAGCCTACACAAAAGCTCATGACAGAAAGACTGTTTTATTTTCAAAGAGCGGGAAAGAAGCTAATAAAAATTTGAGCAAATTGGGCTGGAGAGATGGCTCAGCAGTTGGGTTCAATTCCCAGCACCCACAAGGCAGCTCACAACTGTATGTAACTCCAGTTTCAAAAGGCCCAACACTCTCACACAGACATATATGCAAGCAAAACACCAATGCACATAAAATAAAAAAATTAATTAATCATTAAAACAAACAGAACAACTCTTAAATTCTAAAGATGGAGGGGAGGTATGGTTGTAAGGAATGAGTGCTATCAGTAAATCCATCTCATTATACATTGGTTGCTCCCTATGACCCAAGATTTACCATCACTGTGGCTCCTCCATTCACAATGAATGGGTCCTGGCATTTCCACAGAGACAGGGCCTCTCTACGTAGCCCTTGCTGTCCTGGAACTTAATATGCTGATCAGGCTGGCCTAAAACTCAGAGATCAACAGCCCTCTGCCTCCTGTGATTAAAGGAGTGTGCCACCACCACTAGTAAAGCTATTTTAAACTCTAGATTCTGAATAAGAATAGAGAACTGAGACATAGGAAGTATGATGTCCCTGGAGCTCCTATATTGACTGGATGAAACCTATAGAAATATCGATTAGTTAACTCAAAATTAAGCAAATATCTTACTTTCTGCAGATGGGTGTGTGTGTCGGAGTAAAGTTCATTCTGCCTTATTCGCACCTATCAAATACACAAAATTGATAATGAGGGCCAGGAAGTGTTAAAAATACACACACACACACACACACACACATATGCACACATGTGCTATACAGCTTAGTTCCCTCCTCAGCAATACCATATTTGACTCCTGAAGAGAACACAGCATTTAGACCAATACTGGATGTCTTCTTTAACTGCTTCTCCAACATATAATTAAAGGGAAAAACACTCAAAACTTTTTTTAGATTTATCTTATTTTTATGTGTATGAGTGTATTTCTGCATGTGTATATGCACAACACATAGGTGCTTGGTGCCCAAAGAGGTTGGAAAAGGGTGTCACATACCCAGGGACTGAAGTTATGGATGTTTGTAAGCCACCATATAGTTTCAGGGACTCAAACTGTGATCTTCTTCAAGAGTAACAAGTGATCTTGACTACTGAACCAACTCCCTAACCTCTACTTTAAAAAAAAACAAAAAACAAACTAACAAACAAAAACCCAAAGTCTTCAATGAACTAGGAGGCTGGTTCCAGAGGCTGGCCAACCAAAAAGCTTCAGGGACCCACCTTTCACAGAAAAGCACATTCCCCAATCCTTCCCTCCCTCCTCTCCCAATTACTTCCTCATACTCAACCAACCAGCACTGGGGTTACTGTCATAAACAGCTGTGAGGGCTTTTTCATGGATGCTGAAGACCCACCTCTGGGCTTCAGGCTTGTGAAGCAGGCACTTTGCCAACTGAGCTATCTCTCTAACCCTTGTGGGTTTTTTGTTTGTTTTCATTTTGTTGGTTTGAAAAAAGTATCTAGCTATGTAGCCAAAGCTGTTATGGTACTCATTATTAATATGGACTGGTCTGGGACTTTTATCCATCCTCCTGTCTGAGCTTCCCAAGTGCTGAGATAATATAGGTGGGTGCCACTATACACTTATTTTTTGCAATTGTGTATGTGTGTCTATGTCTGTGTGTGTGTGTGTGTGTAGCTGGAGGACCACCTGAGGAGTCAGCTTTCTTCCTCCACTACTCAGATATCAGGGTCAAACTCAGGCCTAGCAGCAAGCACCGTAATCTGCTGAGCCATCTTATCTTTTCTAATAAGCAGTTTTAATAATTTTAAAAATATACATATTAATTTTATTCTATTTTATGTCTATAGGTGTTTTGCCTTCAAGTATGTTGGTGCACTAGGTAGGTGTATGCTGGTGCCCCAGGAGGCCAGACAATTGTGAGCTGTCATGTGGGTTCTGGGAAGCCAACCCAGGTCCCTAGGAATAGCAAGAGGGCTCTTAAGCACAGGAGCATCTTTCCAGCCACTGTCTAATGATTGTTTAGGAGAAAAGATAGGCCACTCCTGAGTTCCAGAACAACCAGAGTTACATGATGCTAGATAATTCTGTCTCAAAAAAAGCAAGCAAAAAAAGAAGTGTAAATTGATCAGTGGCTACTTATAGCTTCAAATATTAAATAAAACCTAGAATTCAGAACTTTCTATTTAAGTGTCAAACCTCTCTCTCCCTACTTATTTCTATCTCCCCTAAACAAATCCTGTTTCTACAAAATGTTCCTTTTTGTTTATTCATGAGACAAGATCTCACACTTTGGCTAGCTTGGAACTATGTAAACTAGATTGGTCTAAAATGCATAGAGGGGGCTGGAGAGATGGCTCAGAGGTTAAGAGTACTAACTACTCTTCTAGAGGGCCTAGGTTCAATTTCCAGCAACATGGTGGCTCACAACCATTTGTAATGAGATCTGGTGCCTCTTCTGGCCTGCAGGCATACATGGAAGCAGAATGCTGTACACCTAATTAGTAAATTAAAAAAAAAAAAAAATCTTTGAAGAGCCAGGCAGTGGTGGCACACACCTTTAATCCCAGCACTCCAGAGGCAGAGGCAGGAGATCTCTGAGTTCGAGACCAACCTGATCTACAAGAGCTTGTTCCAGGACAGCCTCCAAAAACCACAGAGAAACCCTGTCTCGAAAAACCAAAAACAGAAAAAAAAAATCCTTAAAAAAAATAAAATACATAGAGATCTGCCTGCTTCTGCCTCCTGAGACCTGGAATTAAAATCCTATACATCATGGCAGATCCACTGTGTTCTTAGTTCTATACTCCCTGTTCATGAGCTCCCTGACAGCTGAAATATAGCTCCTTCCACAACTCTAGTAAATTCACTTAATTCAAACTATTCTGTACATAACATGTATCTTAAATATTATTTTCTTCATATCTTTCCTGAGCCTTTTCCATTCAAAATGATCTACCAAGTTAATTGTGGTGGCTTGTGTAAGGATTCAGGCCCCTGTCGCCTGGCAGAATGCACTCAGGCAGTACTTTGGTCAGCCCATAAGTACTAGTCTGCAGGCAGGTGTAAAGGACCCCTTTAAAAGACAGACCCCGCCCACTTACGCTCTCTTTTGCTTTCTCTCTCCTGCTTTCGGTTGGCCACCAGCTACCCCCCCTCCTCTTCCCCCCTCTCTCCTTTTCTGTTCCCGGTGCCTCTGTGTCTCTTCCCTTCTCCCTCACTCCCCTTTCTAAATAAACTCCTCATTTTAGCTCTGTCTGCCTGGCGTGTTATTCCCTCCACCTGACACCTCAGTCACCCTCACCTGCTATGGAACCTGCTATGCTCTCCCACGTGGTCCCTTACCTTGGGACCCTACTCACTTGGAACCCTCACCCCGGACCACCCCCACAACAGCTTGTGTCAGTACAACTTAGCAGTGGGGAAGATCACTCAAAATGGAGGGCAGCCTAGACTACAGAGTTTTAAGTTTCAGGCAAGCCTGGGCTATACAGAGAGGCCCTGTCTCGAATAAACAAACAAACAAACAAACAAACAAAACCCACAAAATGACCTGTCAGGATGATCTAACCATAGCTTGTGTACTTGGAAGGCTGCGACAGGAGTATTGCCATGAGACCAGTCTGGTATAAACAGTTAATTCCAAGCCTATCTGGGCTGCAGTTAGATACGGTCTCAAAAAGGAAATAAATAAATAAATAAAAATAAATAAATAAAAATTAAAAGCATGTTTTCACTGGAAAGTGGTTGTATTTACAGTTCTACTACGATAACCCATCTTCCTGGCTGACAGAAGCCATTTTAACACTACTCTCTAAGGCAGGTATGCCTCTGTTTATATACGTTAGTGAATCTGTTTTTTCGAGGTCTAAGAGATCGAGTTCAAGGCTATGGGCATGCTAAGAAAACACTCTACATATTGGCCACAACCCTCTCCCCGAAATGTTCCATTTACTCGCATAACTACTTTCTGAAGTAATTCATTATCCCTCATCTTACAAAAGAGGAAATCGAAGCTTACAGAAGCGGGAGGGAGAGGGAGCGGGAACTCCATCCATCTCCAGGACGTCTGGATCTTGTTCTCCTCTTGCAAGTCCACCCAGTTCTTGACCAGATCTTAGCTCCCTCATTACTATAGTTCTCCGCGTCCCGGAGACCTCTCCTTTTGCAGACAAACTTCCCACGACTGGTCCCCAAGTCACCTAAGGACCCCAGGTTTAGTCTTCTGTTGCTTTTTCCTGCATTTATTACGAAGTTTTTTTTTTATCCTACCAGATTTTTTCTTTCCAACGTCTGTCCTAAAATCCCTTCACTTTTATCCCGAAAACCACACTCACCAAGCGCCAAACTTTGGCTTCTGACAACGCAACCGAAAACCAACTCAAATCAGCGAGGGTCCACAAATTCCTACCAATCGCTCACGAGTTTAGGCGGCCTTTCGGGTTTCGCACCAATAGGACGGTTGTTCACCCAGCAGCTCTTCCCATCTTGCCTTGCGCCTCACGGTGCAGAGGTTCCTGGGAAGTGTAGTTTTTTCCATCTGCACATATTGCGAGTAGGCAGGATGTGTCTAAAGGGTGGGAAGCAAGTATCTCTTGCCTGTTTTGACACCGGTTTTGACAACTTGGTCTAAACTCACTTAACTATTTTTCTTGAATGATATACATAATCACGGAGTGGATCACAGGAATACCTCAGAGTGTCTTGTATATATTGTCATTTGATATAACCTTCAATTTCATTTAAAGTGAGCCTAAGAAAAGCTTCACAAACCCTAAGGAGTTGTCCAAGCAACACGTGGGAAGAGGAACAAAAAGGATCAGGAGTTCAAGGTCATTCTTGGCCAAATAGCAATTTGGAGCCCTTGGTTACTTAAGTACCTGACTCAAAAAAGCCAAAACAGGAAGGGAGAAATTTCCATTACTTGGTAGTTTAGATGTGGGTGGGGTGCAATGTCTCCAGTCAAAGGATCATATATTCAAATGTTATGTCCAGCCAGTTGGATTTAAACATCAGGAGGATATATGAAGAGCTAAGAGTGGTGGCTCATGCTGGGATTAATCCCAGGACTGTGGGGGGAGGGGTTTGAGGGTTTGGGAGGTTGAGTCTCAATAACAAAACAAAAGAGGATATTAAAAAGGATTAATTCTGGAACGCATGGTAGCATTGCCTTAAACTTTGGAAAGCTTAAAATTTGAAGCTTTCATGTCTATGTCAAGTTCAATGGCTCACTCACTGATAAGTGGAGCTACAAATTTTCAATGTGTTATTTCAAATGACATTTGATTTTCTTAGTCATGTCATAGGGAAGGACAAGGGGAAAGTTAATAGTTTTTCCATCTTTGTTATTCTATTTTGATAAGTCACTGTGAAATTCTTGGAGTCAGGGTGGAGTGGGGAGTATAAACAGAATACTTGCTTGCTATTTAGTATTCATCATTCCTGAAGTCCTAAATTCAGTCCCAGGTTGTATCTAACCAATGAGCAAACAAGTTAATAGCCATTAAAATGTGTTTTAGGTCAGGGGTAATAGGCTATGTCTTTTTATATGTTCCTTTTTATTTTTAAAATTAATTTATTTTTTAAAAATTTAAAAACTTATCTTTTACTTTCCAGCTTGTTTTTTAAGACAGGGTTTCTCTGTGTAGCCCTGTCCTAGAACTTGCTGTGTAGACCAATCTGACCTCAACACAGAGATTTGCCTGCCTCTGCCTCCCAAGTGCTGGGCTTATGCCTTGAATTCCAGAATTTGAGAGGCAGATGCAGGAGGATCTCTTGGGAGTTCCAGGGTAGCTTGGTCTACATAGCAAGTTCAAAGCTAAATTATTGCTTACTTAGGTATTAATTTCACTCTACTCTAACACTGATAAGTAAATTATAGATAAATATGTGGTACTTGAAATGATTTATTTTTCCTCAAAAGTTGCTTTTTTATCTTGCCTTTTTTTTTTTTTTTGGTTATCCTAAGGTGGTCTTGCCCTAGATAGCTGAGGATGATCTTGTAATTATAACCTTCTGTCTCTATCATCTCCTAAGTGCTGTGATTACAGACATGCTCTACCACTGGTTTATATGGTGCTAGGACTCAAACCCAGGGGCCCCAGCTCTCTAACATTGTACTTTGATTGCATGTTTAACTAAATCAATTATTTTGACGACTTTTAAGTTTTGAACTCCACGATTTTTTGCTTTTTACGTGCAGCTTGGTTTTCCAGGTTAAGTCCTAAACAATCTAAGTCCTGTGACAAACTATTATTTGTGTACAATGTCATACCTTCCTGTGTCCATATGTTTGTACATCACTTTTTTTCCTTTAAAAGCAAGAAATGGAAACTACACCGGAGTTAATCTCATGGGGGCACATTTGCCTGATATGTTCAAGGACTTGGGTTCAATTTCTAGGACCAGAAAAGTGAGTTAACTAAAGAGTCCATTTTCCCATCTTCCTCAGAATGTGGGCCAGTCTTCTGACTAGCAGAATACCCCTCCCCTCTTTCTGAGAGAGGGTTTTTACCGTTAGTCTTTTTCCCCCTTATTTAAGTGAACGTGTATGTGTGTGGACCCGGGTGGAGGTCAGAAGACAACCTTCAGGAGTTCTCTCCTTCAACCATGTGGGTTCCAGTGATTCTCAGGCCTGTGCCCTTACCAGCCGAGCCCCTGACACCTATGGACTGATCTAGAACTCAGTCTGGAACCAGAAGTGCCTTGAAATTGTGGCGTTCTTTCTACATCTCCTTCCCCAGACTGCTCCTGAACTGTTTTTGGGAGCCGGTTGGTTTTTTTTTTTTTTTTTTTTTTTTTTTGAGAAAGCCCTTGCTGATCGGAACTCTGTGCGGGCAATCATGCCCGGCCTTACTAATCATAGAGGTTTCTGATGACAAGGTGACCAGTTTCATAGCAAACTGGATGAGAAAACAGCAGGTGTTTTCAGGTCGTGCTCCCTTCTCAAATAAGACGGTCTGAGGAAGATTTCCAACAGCTAGAAAAGCGAGGCTAGGCGCTATTGAGCTCCCTGGGTGGTGGGAAAGAGCAATTCGCAGCTGGCGGTTAAGTCCGGCCAGTGTGACGACAGATGTCGATGGCCTGGAACCAGCCGGTCACGGAGAAGTGAGCGCCCCGTATAAAAGAGGCCTGGCAGTCAGGTGAGTCGTAAAACACTAAACTAGAGGCACGGAAATCCTGCCAAGACTTGGTTACTTGTCCAAACGTTAGGCGACTGTGTCGAACGCAGGTCTCGGAGGACAGAGAGGGTGCTCCGGCCACGGCTGGGCCCACCTTGTTGTCGTGTCCCCAACACAAAGAGGAACAGGAACCTGCTCACCGGAAACAGAACCTCTGCTCTCCGAGGCATTACACATTCCTCCGCGCGCCGGAAGCGCGCGTTCCACCTTGTGGGGGAGCTTCTCTCTCGTCTTTCCTCGAGGAGAGGCCGTGGAGCCTCCAGAGCCCACGCCGCCGGAGTGGTCGGAGAGCGCAGGGCTTTGGCGGGCAAGCCGAGGGAAAGCCACGCCGGGCGGTCCTGAAAGGGGAGGAGGAGGAAGGGCCGGCCGGGCGAGAAGTCGCGGCGGCGGGATTCTGTTTCCTGCGGCGCGGACGGATTTGGCAGTACGTTAACTTCCGGAAGCGTCCTGGCCCTGAGAGGAAAAGCCCTGAAGGAAACAATAACAAACGACCGGAGGGAGCGCTTCTGGGCTTTCTGTGAGGAACAGTTCTCTCCCGGGAAGATGCTCTGCGGTGCCTGTGAGGAGACGTGAGAGGGCTTGGTGGCCGTCACCCCGCCCCTCCCCGCCTGTGCACTTCAGGGACCCCTGACCGTGGCCATGGCGGGCGTGGGCCCGGGGGGCTACGCGGCGGAGTTCGTGCCGCCCCCGGAGTGCCCGGTCTTTGAGCCCAGCTGGGAGGAGTTCTCGGACCCCCTCAGTTTCATCGGCCGCATCCGGCCCTTGGCTGAGAAAACTGGCATCTGCAAAATCCGTCCACCCAAGGTAGCGGACCGGGGGCGGGGGCGGGGGCGGGGAGGGAGGGAGGGAGGGAGGGTCGTTCTCCCGTCCGAGCTTTCTCCGTGGCGGTTCCAGCTTTCACGCAGCCCCGCCCTAAGTCTTCGGCACTCAGAGGCCACGTTTGAGGCTGTTTTTGCCTTGGCTTGTTGTGTAGTTTCACGTCCACTTTTACATTTATTTTAGAGAGAGACAGAGGGAGAGAGGGAGAGGCTGTGCGCGTGTGCGTGCGCGCGGAGAGGTCAGAGGACATTTTGTAGGAGTCGATTCTCTTCCTGCGTTGTGGGTCTCAGGGTTCGAACTCAGCTTGTCGGGCCTGGACCTTAACGCCAGAGCCATCTCACTAGCTCTCAGGTCCACCGTCTAACGAGAGAAAGCAGTGTGTCTGGGACCTTTTCCTTCCAGAACTTATTTGGGCGCGGATACTGTTCTTTGGGTTGGAGGTAAGGGTAAGAAAGGCCTCGAGCCTTTTCTAGGAAAGGTGTTTGACGTGTCATTGTGTTTCCGTACTAAAAACTCCACTTCTATGGGCTGTTTTCGTGTTTAAGCCGGCAAATGCTCATTTTATCAGACCTTTGCAGGCCTCTACTCAGGTTTCTTAAAATGTAATCCGAGCTGTACTTGCTGCCTTGATGATGTCACTAGACTAGAACCCCCAACCTAATTACTTCTGCAACAAGAAAAGGCATCATTGGGAGGATGAAAGAGCATTAATGAATTACTTTTTAAAATATAGAGGTGTAAGGAGAATTGGTCAATAAGTGGACATGGAGGATGATGTTGAAATCTCTTGATGTAAGAAAGTAAAAGACAAAAATTTCAGAGTTGTTTTGTAATTAGACATAATCAAGTTTGCCTATAAATTGGTTAATTTTCCTCACTTTGTTTTTAGAGTAGGGTTTCTCTGTGTGTAGCTCTGGCTGTCCTGGAACTCACTCTAGACCAGGCTAGCCTCCAACTCAGATCCAAGGCCTCCCTCTTCTGAGAGCTGGGATTAAGGTGGGCACCGCCGCCGCCACCACCACCCGGCAATTATCCTCACTTTTTAAGGTTAGGAAAGCAGATAATAGCCCCCTGAAGACTGAAATTAATTCCCTAAGAGGTTAAATGATACGCTAGCTGAAGGTCAAAAGTTTTCTTTATTCATTAGACCAGTGCTTTCCAAATGTTATTGGGGTGGGGAGTGCTGCAAGGCCCATGGTTCAACTCCTGCCAACATGGGAGAAAAACTTTGTTTTTGCTGGAAAATCAGCACCAGGGTCAGTTGGATATTGTTAAATGAGATTCCTATGCCCTGTGAAGAGTAGAACCAGTTTTTGGATGTGGACATTTGCAATCTTCTTTACTTTTCTAGCAAGTACGAAGATGATTTTTGTTGTTGCTGTTGAGATGGTTGAGCTATGTAGTCTAGGCTGACTTGGAACTCTCCATCCTACCTCTACTTCCTGAGTACTAGGTTTACTGGCATGTGTCATACCCAGTCACTGGGGGGTTATGTGTTTTTTTATTTTATTTTTTTTTTAAAGTTTTAC